TAAGAATGGAGGCTCAGCCATGGTTTTGGAGTTAACAAAACTCCTGGGCTCAGTGTGGGAAGGGGAACAGGTTCCAACTGAATGGTATAAATCGGTGATCATACCGATTTACAAGAAAAGTGACAGGTCCCCTTGTGAAAACCACAGAGGAATTAGTTTAATCAATATTGCCTCAAAACTTTTCGCTGGTATCATACTCCGTCAATTATCTGTCGCACGTGAAGGGTGCACATGTGAAAATCATGCTGGTTTTAGACCTGATCGAGGTCGCATCCACTACATTTTTACTCTTCGTCAAATCCTAGAGCACAGATACACTTTTCGTAGACCCACCATTTCTATCTTCCTCGATTTCAAACCGCCTTTCGACTCAGTCGACCGCTCGAAACTTTGGCGTTGCTTTTCCTTGAAGGGTCTGTGTTTATTTCAGTATTACAATCCCTCTACAATAATAGCCGATGCCGAATTCGAGTTTACAGTACTACTTCGCCGGAGTTCAATACAGAAAGAGGTCTTGAACAGGGTTGTCGTCTATCTCCGTTTCTATTCAACTTTGATTACTAAGACAGCCCTATCCACGTGCGAGGATTGCAGCATCTGCCAGGCGGCAGACTGCCTTATCTAGAGTATGCAGACGAAATTGTGCTGAGTGAAGATCCAACTAAGTTGCAAGCTTTTTTGGATAGTCTGAGTGCTAGTGTTGCCATTTTCGGTATGCGTTTTGCACCTCCGAAGTGCTAACTGTTGCTACAAGATTGGGTTGGCCCAGTCCCAACCTCACTCTAACCGGAAGACGCCTCACAGATGAAGTGTCGGCGCGCATACAAAAGGCTCGACTGGCATTTGCCAACTTGAGACATTTGTGGCGCCGTCGCGACATCCGACTGTCTGTGAAGGGTCGAGTGTATGCTGCAGCAGTTCGGCCACTCCTGCTCTACGGTGCAGAAACTTGATCATGTGTTACGCATGTCACCAGATGGGTTGCCACGGCGAGCGATATTTGCCGAGGCGGGGAGCGATTGGAAAAAGGTCAAAAGAAGACCTGGAATGAGGATATAAAAACCCTGACCAGGAGACTGGGTCACATAGGTCCAGTTAGGCTCCCTGGCTGGAGACCCCGAGATCATAGTCACCATCAGTCTATATAAATTAGCTATCCTCCGCTTGAATTTGCTCTCAAAATGCTGATCTTCATTCTGTTGTTTTATACAAATGGGCAACCAAAAATACAGCAACCAAGACCGGCGCACGGTTAATGGTTGTAAGAACTGAACTGAACTCACCGCATGCCAAATAAATCACGATACAATAGTCTTTATAAAAAGAAAAATGGTCCATGATTTTCATGTGGACCGAATACTGCTAGGCTGCCCAGACCAAAACAGGCGAATTTTCTTGGGGAATTCACAACCGGAGCCTTCAGTCAACCAAAGCCTGACCCGCAAGGCAGAGGGGCGGTGTGAAGACCGCACTCCATTGAGGGCCAGTTCATCGGATTATAAGCCCTTCAGACGGAGTCAAACGTCCAAGATGCTCAATACACCTCGATACCCAAACGAGCCGGTGGCCGCTGTCACAACCGGGAAGATGTGGGTTTGGGTGTGGTTTGTACACCTATTTGTTCATTTGGAATCAGGGCTTTTAGCCAACCTGCCATAAATGAGCTGCTAGTGGTTAGCAGTGGTTAGAGCCCGGGTAGCAGAGTTTCATTCTCTCACTTTGGTGGGAAAACACCTCCGCCGTGGAGCGGTAGTGAATTGGGCTTCCTCAGCAGAGGCTATTTGAGACGCTTGGTCGTATAGGAGCAGTTTTCGAGATGCAATAGAAAGGAGACCAGCCACAACCCAAGACATCCATACCCGACCACAGTGAGGCTTTCGTTCTGGTTTGAACGTGGCCCGAACCGTGGCTAAGAGATTAGGCCCGTTCTGCATTTGTCATACAGATGGGAAATCAGCTGACAGCTACATTCAATAGCAGTTTGGTTTTAAAACACCTGTTTCCTAAATTTTCAGCAGACTCAGGATAGCATGAAATTTCTTCGGCAAACATTTCGGTACCGACGAATTCTTCATAGAGGGCTTCATTGAGGTTCGATGGAAATAACCCTCAAATCCGTGGCAACTACGGAGTGATTGCAGATCTTTACTTAAAATGGCAAACCTGTGCCACCGATGAACCGGAAGATATTCGGAAATTGCCCATTGACTCAAAGGTGTTTCCTAAAATCAACTCGTATATTTACAGATCACCCTACACGATTTACCGATGGAAATAACTATTATAAACAAACCAGTTAAATTTTACAAATACAGGTCTATTCATGTTAGCAATTTGTTTGTCATTATCATCATTCTAGGTGACATCTTCAGTGCTTTGGCCCAACACGCCTGCGGTTTACCGACAAGGGATAAACAAACCTCTAAGAGATATCGATGTGGTTGGATTTTTTTAAGATGATGCCGTTATGTGTGCTCCAGATAAAACTACCTACAATATTCGAAACCATTTCAAAAAAATTGACAAAAATATCACGGTTTTTCCGGAGAAAAATCCCCGTTTCGTTACCAGTACAATAAAAGAATTGTGAATCAGTTAGGGGGCAGACGTACCGAATAGGTGAAATGCACCTGCGAGCCAACCTCAAGTGGCACCAGTTCGCTGTTGAATAAAGTGACACGAACAATGCGTTGGTCGTTGTAACCGATTTCTAATTTCTTATGCGTCCAAATATACGCTTTGTTTCCACTGGCCACCTCTCCGACCACGCTCCAAATTGGCAAATCATCCAGATACATTTGATACCAATACTGATCGATGATTGCGTCGCGCAATCGGTCATGCACTTCTTGTGTTACCGTAATCGAGCAAACTGGAGCGGATTGAACATCCACTATACGATTGCAACAGAAGGGAACATGAGCTTGACTGAAGAGCGAAGTTGAAAATACAATCATGTTTTTCATAAAAATAGCAGCGATGCCGTTTGTTAATTTACCTTGGACTCGAAGTTGAATGTTACTTAAACATAACAAGGCAGAAAATGGGTGTTGATTGCTTGGACCAAGCAACGGGTTTGAGTAGTTTGGGATTCTTAAGGAACTTATACCTTGAATGTGTGCAGCATAAACTGGGTATCTGTCTATTCAAGAGAGAGAGAGAGAGCGGAAATTGGCCTCCCCTTTCCACAAACTAACTATGAGCCCCCTAACCGGGTTCAGCAGCTTGCTTGGAGAACTCAATCGATAGGGAATCAGAAATTTCAAGCTCCGAAGATCTCGTTATAGTTGGAAATGATACGTTGGCGGAAAAACAAAGCACGACGTTCTATCACGGTTGACACATCATATCAGAGACCCTATTTGGGATCGAGTAGGTAGAAAAGATCCGGGAGTACGATAACCGAGGAGGAAGAAGTTCGAAAATATTTTCTCAAAAGAGTCTGGCAACATAAACAAAACTCCATGAGGTGGATGCTTGAGTAGTTCACGTGTAGCAGTTCAACTTCGCCAATTTTTTTTGTCTGAGCCTAGGTGTTGTCTATACTTGGCACCCTGAAAACCTTTAGTTCCATGGAGGGTAAATGAGACCTCGTTCCTATCCAATGCAACGATATCATCGGGTGGAAAAGCTAACGGAAAATTTTCACTCGCGGCCTACTAATGAAGAGGGTTTTGAAGTGAGAGCATGAAAAGCCAATATAATCGCGTTGATGGGCCACAGGTAATTTGCTCGTCTAAGAGGATTTGGAAACTCTGATTTCCAATATGCTCACAACTGTGAGAGCAGGCTCCGGGACACTCGGACAGCGAAGATAATCGGTTAAGGGTGATGGAGGGTACTGGTCACAACAGACGTGCTCCATCAAGGTGATTCAGATGACTAGTTGTCGGCTACAAATGAACTGTCTTCACACACTGTCACGCTGTATTGTGTAATCCAAGCAGTCTACTACTCCAAGTGCTGACAGATTTTTTGGTTAAAAAAGCGAAGTTCAACATCGGTTAGCAGATCTCCCCCTAGTCAGTGTTCCCATTCCCTATTGAGATTTATCAAACTGAAATCTACACTTGTGAAAGGAAATTTTAGCCCGTGACAATCGATAGCAATGACTGAGAGGGGAAAAACAATTGTGTGGTTAGACGAACGAATAATCTCCTCAGTGTGAAGTATCCCTTAGATACAGACTGATTTAAGAGTATTACATGATACAAGACAAAAAACAAACTTACCCTTGTAACGGATACTGATTCCACTGTATTGCAACTCGGTACCTTGAAGAGCTTCTCCCAGTGTTTCGTGAGCATGCTCAATTGTGGTTTCAGGTCCACGACAAAACGGCAGCGAGAAGTACGGGTACGTTTCTTGTCTGTTCCGATAAGGTCCAATGGTGTTCATCCATAGCACGACTTGTTCTCCGTTATGATACTGCACGAGAGGGGAGTGAGTTACACACCGTTAAGAGGGTATATTATGGAGGCGAAACCCAACCTTTTCATAACAATAGTTTGTTTGTTTGTACAATCATTAACCATGCACTTTCGTGTGTCGGTTTTGGTTGCTGTCTTTCAGCTGCCAACTTGGATGAACAGTAGGAGACATACAGGAAGGTTGAAAGTAGAATCGCAAAGAAAGAATTTCAGTGAACCAATGTTGCAAAAAAATTGAGATGCACGACTGCCACTGTTTACGACACCCAGCCATCTCACTCACTCATTGATCATGCTGATCCCGAGGTCCTCATTCAGAAAACCTAACAGAATCTATGTGACCCAGACTCCTGGTCAGGGTTTTCATACCCTATTGCTACGTCTTAGCTTGACTGCCCTCGGCTTTTTTCTACCCACTACCTGTCTCGGCGAAAATCATTCGCCGTGGCAACCTATCTGGTGACATGCGTAACACATGTCCCAACCAGTGTATTCTTTGAAGGTCAACTACTTGCTCCAGTGGGCGATCACGGTCACCTAAAACTCTGCGCCTAACCTCAGCATTGCTCGTCCGGCTGCCACATCAGATTCATGCAATGCTACGTAGACAGCGGTATTTAAACACCGACAGTCTATCTTCATCCTGTTTTCTCAATGGCCAAGTTTCCGCGATTTTCGTGTTAATGATATCATCATCGTCGTACAGTGAGATACCTAGGGCTTCCTCTCGACGGTGGGAGAAGTCTTCGCACTTCATTGGACAGCTACCGCCCGCCCAAGCTGGGCAGCCCCCAGCCAATAAGGTGCTGTCCCGTCCACGTTCCGCTTGTCTCATTGGGTGCATGAGGCTGAGGGCTGATCCCGAAAAGCGGACCGAAAATCAACGCACCAGCGAACAACACAATCAATCGAAATTCAAAGGCCTTGCGTGACAGGTCTCTAGAAGCTCCCACACGGGTGCTTCGTTCACGCTCCCGCGTTGGATTTACGCCCCACTGCCTTGTGGGTCAGACGTTTGAGTCAAAGGCTCCGGTTAGGGTTCCCAAAGAAAAAAATCCTTTGTCGGTGTGGGCTGCCGCAAATTATGCCGTGCCCTAAAGTCTCAGGCAGACATTTGGAAAAACCATCTTTCCCATCTATCTAGTCCTTCTTCTCAATCCTAAATAATCCCAGGTGCCTCCTGTTTACGAGACTCATCGGATATCACTCAGCGTTCAACTAATCAGGGCAACCACTCAAAGGCTACCAGATTTTTGAAACCAAAACTCCTTTCCACTTAGCCGCACTCAATGTCCGCACACTACCAGATCGGTCAACAAGCTGCCTTATCTAGAACCCTAGAAACCTTTCGTTTAGATGTATGCTGTGTCTTCGAAACACGCATACAAGACCCTACTTCAATCATCTTGCGGATTAGAGCTTTGTATGAAAAGTGAAGTTGATTGGGTGTAAAGAAACGCTTTCCGCGAAATAAAAAACCGACTTTGCGCACAGCGCAAGAGGCAAGTGTAGAAATAAAAGAATGAATCGATCTTCAAAATGTCTCTGACGCAAGAAGTGGAACTCAAGCTGCAATCCACAATATGCCCATGTGCGTCTTCCGAATGGAGAAGAGGAAACTGTATCACTGAGGCAGCTTGCTTCGAACATGTCCACATCGGAAAACATGAAACTACAGCAGATCAACATGTGCACCTCAAGGAAGAACTGTTCACACCTTGGGCTGCTCAACTGGAGAATGACGCTCCAGAATCATAAATCAAGTCTAACGAGACGGACCACACAACAGCTCATAAGGGGCCAACAGCGTGTCCACCCAGACAATCTTCGAAGTAGAGGTTTAAAAAAGCACTGATTCAGACTTTTCACTCAGCGTGGAAGAACATTGTGATTTTGTTGGACTGGATCTGTATACCACAGTATCACTGTTTGCTGATAATGCAGTTTTTATCTTTCTAATGTAGCCAGTGTAACTACGCATGGTGTATTGACAGTTTGCAACTTCAGTTTCTTTTCGTTCAACAAAACAGGATTTCGTTCACAAGCAAAGAGATCGATCCTGTGAAGATCGCAGGGAAACTGGTTTCGAAACTTCCTTAAGGCAATATACACCACCCACTGTCCGCCACACGTGAAGGATGCACGCGTTACAATTTGGCTGGTTTTAGATCTCCTTTGGTCAAATTATACGATACAGACATTCCTTTCTTAGACTCAATTTCTATTTTCCACTATCTAAGAGAATATACGTATATGTTCGTCACAACACCGAGTAATTTTGGATAGACAGCTCCTTCAGAGCAAGTCCGTTGAAGAATCAATACTATTATTAGATTGTGTTGAATGCTACTACCCGCAGCAAACGTGACTTGAGCGTCTTTATAGAATATT